GCATAGTGAAAAGAAAACCCACAAACTGGGAAAAGATTTTAGTGAACTCTCTCTCAGACAAGGGACTCTTGTCTAAAACATATAAAGAATTAAAAAAACTCAGACCTCCAAAATTCAAAGATCCAATCCAAAAATGGGCATCTGAGATGAATACGCAATTCTCAGATGAAGAAATGCAAATGGCAAATAAATATATGAAAACATGCTCATCATCATTGGTCATCAGAGAAATGCAAATTAAAACCACACTGAGATTCCATCTCACTCCTGAAAGAATGGCCAGGATCAAGAAAACCAACAACAACAAATGCTGGAGAGGCTGTGGGGAAAAAGGAACTCTCCTGCACTGTTGGTGGGAGTGTAGACTGGTACAGCCTTTGTGGAGGTCTGTCTGGAGGTTTCTCAAAAAGTTTGGATTGGAAATCCCATTTATTCCAGCTATTCCACTTCTAGGCATATTCCCAGAAGAACTGAAAGCATCATACCACAGTGATTTATGTGCACCTATGTTTATAGCAGCACAATTTGTAATCGCCAGATCTTGGAAACAACCCAAGTGTCCATCAACTGAGGAATGGATAAAAAAGTTGTGGTATTTCTATACAATGGAATATTATTCAGCTATAAAGAAGGATCACATTGAGATATTTATCAATAAATGGGCGCAGCTTGAGACCATACTCATAAGTGAAATAAATCAATCTCGCATGTGTGAATACCGAATAGTTTCCCTAATGTAAGTAATGATTCAAATATATGAAAATATGTGGCAATCATGATTCCCCATTATGTGGCCTTGAAGCCTTATAAAATTTTCACTTATTAATTAGAAAGGCTTTATTCCGGGCTTCTTGATATGGAAATATTTGAAGCTATAGTATATGAAGTTTTATCCAAATATCTCAAGGAAAAAGACAGACACTATGGTAACTATTATTCTTTAAAAAAATTATTTAGTTATTTCTTATGTTTATTTTAATTAAGGGAAAAATTTAAAAAATTAGGATATATAATAGTAACTCTTTTCGATTTCCTATTAACTTGTTTTGAAGTCCTGTAATGCTCCCACGATCTTGTTTTGACTGATTAGACTCTGTTCCATTCTGTGGGATAGTATCAGGTCCGAGGGTATAGGCAACTACTTTGAAGGCAGTAAGATTCACTAAGATGCCCATTCTGGTTTGACTATTGTCTCCTTTGGAAGTCCTGTAATGTTTACAATGTCTAAGTTTTATTGGTCTTATTCTCTACTGTTTTGTCCAACTTTATAATATCTAATGAGATAGACAAATCTTTTTAAGGAAACAAGAGACAACGTTGATAACTATTGTTAATAACCGTATACTCTGTTCTACATCATGTGCTAAGTCTATCCTTGGTTTTCACTGACAGCTTTGTTCTGCCATATTTGACTTTATTCTCCCCCCCCCAAAAAGTAATAAGAACTAAGGAGTAATAAAATCTAAAATGTGTAAATTTTGTTGTAAAAAGAGAGGAAGGGGAAAAAAGAGCTCTAACGGATATAACAGCAAGTGTGTATAGGGATGTTGAATAGCTGACTATATTAATGTTTTTGGATCATTGAACACAGCTGTTTGTAGTCTCTCTGTTTGAATGTCTACTTTGTATTCTTTGATACTGTGATTTGAGCAACTATTTCCAAGATGATAATATGTAATCTATTAACAGGTGATTTCTTACTGTTATGCTTTTTTTGTAGTTCTGTATTATATGTAACCTTACACTGCTTTGTTTTGTTTTGTGTTTTTCTCTTTTTCCTCTTAAATAAAAAAAAAAAAAAAAAAAAAAAAAAAAAGATAAGTTGTGCAGAACAAAGACAGTTAATTAACTCTGACCCACTGGTCACCCCTTATAAACTGACCAATAGCAGGTAGATAAGATGCCCACCGCTCTGCACTAACTGTAATGATTGGCTTCTGTAATAAATGCTTACAGTGCGGTTTTTCCCCCTTAAAAACACCAGCCTTGCCCCAACTCAGGGTTCTCCATTTCCACCTGTTTGGAGGACCCCGTGTGCATGGAATAATAAAAACCCCTTTTTTCTTACATGAGAGCGGGGCCCTTGGAGTCTCCCTTGCAACACCAGTCTTACAATGTGATTCCAAGTTCTGACTGCTTTAGATTGACAGAGAGGATCTTCAGAATGTGTTTGGCAGACAGGTCAAGAACGAAGTCCTTCTGATCTTCCAAAGAATTCCATGAGGCTATGGCAACTCATTTCTCTATGCTGTATCCATGGTCTTTTCTGTGCCAAGAAGCCTTGGAGTTCCCAAATCAACAGCTAAGACTTTCCTTAACCAGGGATCCTTCCCTACTAGCAACGATTTACAATATCTTAGCACCCACTTTGGAAAAAATTCCTGTCATTTTGAATTTGAATATGCAAGTGTGTAAATACACCTCAAATTGCTAAATACACCTCAAAATCAACCTGTATTATTCTTTTCCAGCCAGGATCATTACCTAAACAAATAAAAAATGCATGATTTCCATGAATGTCACAGCATCATAATGCATAATAGGCAAAAGACAGATGTCTGGTGTGCACATGAATTATGGTTCTACATCTCACAAATCATGGCTCAGCCATGGAAGTGTGTGAACTGCCAATTCATGCTGCAGCACAAATGAGCTCCAAAAACATGCTCAGGGAAAGAAGGCAGGCTGGGAGCTGTGATGTGCCAAAGGACAAATGCTATGTAATCCCATTTGTGTGAAATATTCAGAAGTGGTCCACACAGAGACAGAAAGCAGACTGGGGGTTGTGGGTCCAGGGAAGGAAAAGCTGGATGAGAGTCTTACACTGAGGAGATGAAAACATTTAGGAACTGGAGAGAAGCTATGGTTTCTCCACATCACAAACACACAAAATGCCATTAAAAGAGTCATTTTGTTTTATGTGAGTTGTACCTCAAGTTTTTAGATGCACAATTTAAACATATGAAATGCACTTCACTAACTGCAAGGTCCCCGTTCTAAGCAGTTTAGGATTTCACTATCAGAACAAACTAGGAACCATGAGAGCAGGCATGTAGCTGAGGCAGGATCGCAAAGTCCAACTCCCAGTGCAACAGACAAACTTCTTTTTTCAATTCCCCTCTGAAGTGGATTGGTAACTGGTGGTCACTTAAAACGCCAGCTGAACTGAATCAGCATGGTGCTGAGCATGGGTGGCCCACCTGAGGACTGTTGCCTGGAAAAAAGGAAGATCTGGAGAGGAAGAGTAGCGTATGGGTTGTTTGGAGCTGTTGGTTCTCCTGGAAGAGCTTGTCATGCTGGCTCCCCTGATATAAACTCAGCTGTTTTCATCAGAGGAGCTCAGGACGTTGTTGCTGAGGATGGCTGTGGTTCACTTTGGGGGAACCTCTGGTCCTCTGAGCATCACTTCCTGGCTCCAGAGGGGAAGATGTGTGCTGTTCAATCTCCAGGAGAAGCTTGTCACACTGGTTTCCTGATACAAACACAGCTATTATCATCAGAGGAGCTCAGGATCTCATTGCTGAGGATGGCTGTTGTGCTTTTGAGGGGATCCCTGGTCCTTATTTTGAGAATCACCTCTTGGCTCCAGTGCAGAACCCTCAGCTTGCTGGCACAGCTCTATCATCCTGCTGGCATAGACTTCTACTGACCTTAGGGGCCTTCCCAGCACAGATCTCTATGAAATGGATTTACATGAGTCATTGTTGTGGGCTGTGGGCCTCCTGTTGGATTCATGGGGGGCACTGTCATGGGCTCTAGGTCTTCAGCTGGACTCATGCAGGATATTGCTATTGGATCCAGGTCCTCAGGTGGGTTTCCTTGGTTTTCAGTGTTTGGACAGATTTCCTGCATTTTCTTTGTATTTAACTCCTTGGGTGATCACCAGAAAGCAATATTATAATTGATGTGTCCTGTATATGATTGTTCTCCTTGCAACCCCTGACTACAATACTCTCTAAGAACAAGTAGCTTTAGGGACAAGGCGGCAGACCCTATCCTTTGGACCTTTCTGTGCCACCCTTTCTGTGTGGCAGAAACAGTTGCTGTGTTCAAAATTAGGAGGAAAGAGGGAGGAAGGTGCATAGCTGGCCCGTGAGGGTGGGTTATAGTAAAGGCCTTGGAAGTAGCTGCAGGTAAGGAAAAGAGAAAGCTATTGGGTCCCTTGAATTCCCAGCCTTCTCATCCTAGGGACCCACCCCACCCAGAATTCCCCCTCTGGAATCTTCACTGTGGCTGACCCCCAAACACTACCCTTGCAGGGAGAGTAGCCATGGGCCGAGTCCTCTCCCTGAAACCCTGCAGTTTTCTAACCCGGTTTTTACCAAACAAGTAAGATGTTGCCTGTTCCTACAAATGTCCATCTTTCCTCTTCCTTCCTGTTCCCCTCACTGGTTCTATTTAGTCCATCTGTTTCCTGCCATGCTCATGCAACCACCCGTCCCTTTTCTGTTTTTTTCAACTGTCCACTCACTAAAATATTACTCCAGGGGCGAGCAAATGCAGAGGAAAGACAACCCAGCTATGCAATGCAGAATGAAGGGGTCCATCCCTGGAAGGTAGAGCCCATACATTGTAGTGAGCTGGTCATAAAAACTCCAGGAAAACTGTGAACTGTGCTTCCAGGATGGCGAATGGTGAGGGCCTGTGAGTGAGATGACAGAGGCCAGTTTCACAAGGAAGAGACAGCACACTGTGAAGACTGGAAGCATGTATACATTGCGGAGCGAAGAGTCTGAATGACAGGAACAGCTGCAGCATAGCTTGTGTCAGGCCTGGACATCCCCACCAATGGCAGCCCACAAAGTGCACAAAAGTAGGTACTTCCAGCTGTGCAAGGGTGCAAGCTGCCAGCTGCCTGAAAGCACAGGGACATGGACTCTGCCCACACTGCAGAGGGCTTGCCACCAAACGTCACAATAGTAGTGAGACCAAATACTAAGCCTTTCCGCAGTCGATTGTGATAACTCGGACCCCCGTATAAAATCCAAGGAAGCAAGAAATTAAAATTTGGGAAGCAAAGGCTTTATTTCCAGGCCTGGTGACACAGCCTCCAGGAGCCAATTTGGAGACTATGCACCTCACAGCTAAAAGTCAGGGCTTTTATCTTGTAAATCCACAAACTGCTGCTGGTAACACAATGTAAGGAAGGGGATAGGGGTGAAACGGTGATTACAACTCTTGGGAAGAGCAAGATCAGGTAAGGGTAAGCAAGTCTCCCTGCATACAAGCAAGTTTAGATAAGAAGAAATCTTGTTTTTCTTAGCAAAGAATAGAGAAGTCTAACAGCAATTAACAACTTTAGTTACCTTACTTTAGCACCACAACTGCCATTTGTAGAGGGCAACAATGGTTAACATATTAATTAGGTAAGATTTTTACAATTCTTTACAGAGGAGAGCATTGATTAACATATCAATCCTTTACCCTGAGGGAAAAGGAACACACAGGTACTGCTATGATACAAACGAAGCTATTTTTGTGAAGAATACACAATTCGTGATGGGGCCACTGGGTAGGGAAGGGGGTTGTCAGGAGCTATTACCTCAGGCCTTTGTTTTATGGCCTTTCGGGAAGTTAAAATTTAACCTAGTTAGATGGGAAGGGGGAAGGGGAGGGAAAGCAGCAGGCAGGCTTATACAGAACAGACTTTGGCATGATAGTTAGGGGGCCTTAGTATAACATCCATCACCCACTTATGACCCTTGGGAAGGTTCTCCATAATCTTGTCCTTGTTTCAAGAAGGAAATCCACTGGCATTCAGAAAAACAGGCAGGGAAAATGATAACCTTAATCTCACTGAATCACCACATTCATGAATCTCTTGTCTTTACAACTTCTGAGGTTACATAATGTATTTGCGTATTTATACAGTAATAGATGTTGTCTAATTAAAGTATATAATATACAGTTGCATTCATAATACAAATTCTTTATTCATAATGTGTGTCCCTAATATTTATAATGCATATGAATATGCATCCCTGCTCTCCATTTTCTGAGGTGTACCCTTTCTCCACAAGACAGTCAGGGTAGGACAGACACTGTAATCAACAGCCTCCAGAGTTGAACACAATACACACTTATGTATTGGTCAGGCAACATGTTGATGGGCAGGTGACTTCCCAGACAGGGCTCTCAGACACCTCTTCACCCTCCAATTTATCCACCTGTCATGTCTCAGGGCTACAAAAGACTCACCTTTCCAGGTATGTAGTGGAGAGAGAAAGCCAAGGATCACAGGCATGGCCCAGCGAGCTGTGTGGGACTCACCCTGGACATGCTACATGTCATCTCAGCCACACTGCACTGGACAGAAGTCTGGCATATGGCTGCACAGAAGCACCAGGGATACTAGGAAAGCTGGTCCAGCTATGTGGTCAAGGGGGAAATGCAACAAGTGTGGGGAGTGACCAAGGCACAGGGCATCTGTCAAGTGCTATGAAGATAGGGAATTAAATTGGGCCAAAAATAGTCATAGGGGAACTTTCTGAAAAGGATTACATCCAATTCAGGGAACATCTTTAGAGCTACCACCATGGTCTGAGCTCTGGGCTGAAGCTGCAAATAATAACAACACAATAATAATGGCAAGATTATATGGTAAACTAAAAGCTAAACAGTAAAAGATACATGAGGTTATGGTTTTTATCTAGATGTACCCCCAAAGCCTCATTCACTTACAGGTGGGGCTCCTGGGAGGTCACTGGATCATGAGGGCATCACACTCATCAAGGAATTAGTCCACTGATAAGTTCATACCTAAATGTGATGTTAGGAGGTGAAGCCTGGTGGGAGGAAATGGGTCACTGGGAGCATGGCTTGGAAGGTCCTAGCTCCCTATTCCTCCCTTGATCTCTGCTTCCTGTCTGCCATTCCATGTGCTGTTTCTCTACTGCCATGCTCTTCTGCCATACCTCCCTACCTTGAAACTGAGACTATGGACTGAAACTTCTACAAACTGTGAGCCAAAACAAGCCTTTCCTCTTTTAGAGTTCTGGGTGTTGGGTAATGTGTATAAGCAACAACAAAGTAATTAAGACAAGGTTAATTAAAATTTATTTTATAGCAATAATTTATTTTATTTTATTTTTCTAACCCCCTCCCCACTGATAAGAAAGATATGAGAATGTATCAGTCTGTTTTCTGTTGCTATCACAAATTACCTGAGACTGGGTGACTTATAAAGAAAAAAATTTATGGAGCTCACAATTCTGGAAGTTCAAGGGTAGGGCACCAGGTTAGACTTGGCTCTGGTGTGAACCTTATAGTGGTGGTTAGCATCATAACAGCAGGAATATATAGGATGGGGATCATGTGGTGAGACCAGAAGCCAAGGACCAGGGAGAGGTCAAGTTTACTGTTTTTTAACAACCTTCTTGAAAGCACTAAACAGAGTCCAACAGCTGAAAGGGGAAGATGCTGCTAAACCTCAGAATTATAAGCAAAAAAGAAAATTTTCAGGTGTTCATGAGACTTGAAAGTTTTCCCACCATCTCTTTAGGTGGCTTTCCTTCCTGTTTCTGTTTCTACCATCTTATTCATAAATATCACTAGCCCTGTCTCTAGCAGTTAGCATTCAGGACTATTTGCTTTGCTGGTGAGTTCATTTCACTAATTTATGCCTACATCTTCCCATCTGCTGGGACCTCCACCACAATTCAAAGCCAAAATGTACTCAAAAAAGTCAGAATATAGCCCAAAAATCATCCCATCTGTCATGGCTCATTTTGGAGGCCCCCAGGCCTCCTGCATTTGTATTACACATCTGTGATTGGTTCAGTGTCTGACACTTGGATTGGGGGTGTGAGTACTACACTGGCCTAGGGGTCTAGCCAAGATGTAATGTGATGGCAGGAAAAAGGTGTGTCTTGCTCTTTTGCTGGTTTCCTCTGTGCTGCTTACAGCCACCATGAACTGTGACCCAGCCATGCCCGCCTTCCTTGGAGCCAACTGAATATGGACTCAAACCTCCAAAAACTGTAAGACATAAACCTTTCCTTTCCCAACTTTGGGCATCAGGTGTGTTGTCTCAGCAACGAGTAAAAAGTAACTAAGACACCATCCCATTTGCCCATCTTTCCAGCACCTTCCCTACCCTGAGATACAATGCCATAACTCTGTCTACTACACAACCCCTGAATATAGATATGCTAGCCTATATTTTCCAATCTATAGTTCCCTTCTCCCTGAATACTCTATCCTTTTCTCTTCCATTTTTCCATTTTTGAGACCCAGATTTTAACGCCTAAACTTAACTTTATTATTCATTTACTCATTTTGGTTTTGGTACCAACCTCATACTTGTCAGGCAAGTGTGTGTGTCACTGAGCTAAATCCCCAGCCCAACTAAAGTATTCTTATCTGTACTTAACATAATTTCAGAGATCAATACTGCAATTAATAAAGTGTCAATACCTTTCATCTTTTTTTAATGATGTTATAGTCAGGGGTTGTGAGGAGAACAATTAAAATCAGGACATGGAGTTTATAATATTATTTTACAATGGTCACCCAGAGTTAACACAAGAAGGTACAGGAAATCTATCCACAACACTGAAGACAGAGAATATTCACCCAAGTGCCAAAATACCACAGTAATGTTCTGCATGATAGGCAGATGAAGACCCAGAGCTCATGACAATGTCTCCCACAAGTTTAACTGGAGGTCTAGAGCCCATGAGAAGGACTCAAGCAAGTCTCTTTTATGAATCTGTCCTGGGCAGACCCAAAGTCAGCAGTGGAAGTCAGAAAGTCCATGCCATGAGGGTGAAGGTTGAGGGTTCTACGCTGGAGCCAAAAGTCACATTCACAACAAAGGCCACAAAGCACCACAGCCATCCTCATCGAGACAGAGGCCCAAGCTCCTCCAACCATAAGCACAGTCAAGTACATGCCAGGAAGCCAGCATGATGATGAGTTCATCCTGAAGACCAAGTGGCACATATCTTCCTCTCCGGATCCAGGAAGCAATGCTCAATGTAAGGACAAGAGCTTCTGCAGGAGAACCAATGGCTCAAACACATTAGAGAACCCACAACAACACAACACCTCAACTCCTCAATATCTCCCTTCTCTTTCTGCACATCTCTGTTTATGTTGGCAACTTTCCTCAGGTGGAGCATCTACACACAACACCATGCTGATGTAATCCAGCTGGTGTTAAATTGACCACCAGTTTTTAATCCATAAAAAATGGGATCTTACTATGTCTCTCAGGCTGCTGTCAAACTCCTAAGGCTCGAGAGATTCTCCCGTCATCTCCTTAGTTCCTGGGACTATAGATAACCACTACCATGTAGCTTCAACACCTTTCTGTCTGCACTTTGGTAAAGTTTCATAATGCATCGTATTGTTGTGGCAGGGGTGATCTATGCATGTTCCCTGCATAGTTTCCTTTGTGTGTACAGGATCGAGTACCTGCTTGCTACCCAGCACTCTAGCACTGAGTCCACTAAGCTTTTCCATTTTAATGACTGAAATAAAACATAAGAATCACACATATGCCTTGCAAGTTGGTGCACACCTGTAATCCCAACACTTGGGAGGCTGAGAGAAGAAGATTGTTGTGAATTCAACTGTGACTACAAACTGTGCTGAACTGAATAGTGAGACCCTGCCCCTCCCCAAAAAAGCAAATAATCATACGTATTTAGGAAGACAGTGTAACATTCAATAATGTACTCGCTGTGATTGATCTGAGATTAGGCTTACCAGTCTCCTCACCATTTGTCATTTATTTATGGGAAAAATATTCAAACTCCTTTCTTCTAGATTTTTGAAATATACAGAACATTATTCTCATCCAGTTGCTTGGTTGGTTGTTTTGGTGCTAGGGATTAAACTGAGAGCCACGCACATGCTAGGAAGAGTCTCCTATACTTTAAATCATGCCCAGATCCCTTAGGGCCGAATGCAAGCTAAATGCCACAAAGCAGTCACTGTGTGGGCTTCTCTAGAGAATAATGGCAAACGAGAAAATCAGTGCTGGTTCCGGACAGATGCAGGTTTTCCTCACATACTCCCCCTATGTGGGTGGTTGAATCCAGCAACATAAAGCCCACAGATGGAGGCTCCGGCTCTCCAATTTGTTATTTTCCTATGGTATTTAATAACCTGCAGCCAACATGGGTGTGCACAGTCTCAGAAGGCCCACTTGGGTAGCTGGATTTGTTTCCTGCTTCCTGCATGAAGTACAGCAGTTACCTAACTATGCCATCAGTAATTCCTCAGGGGCTGCTGCTGGACACAGCTACAGGTCCATGCATTTGGGGTGCTGTAGCTCCTCCAGATGTGGCTCGAATCTTGGTCCACAGAAAACTAAATGTTTCACCTCCACATGTTTCCCTAATGACCAAGTAGTTGTATAATAAACAAAATCCTCGAAGCTTCAAACAATGATCAAAACAAGTCATAGATCATTCTTGGCAAAGATATGAGTAAATTCTAATTATTTATAAATTATTACAAATGGCCTAATAAAATGATCCCTTTTCCTGGGAGGGGAGATCGAAAAGGACAATGTCAGCTCTCCAAATTGAAAATTGGTAGTCATGCAAGCTACCAAATTGTCTTTGGCTAAGATAAGTTCAAATGTTCCAAAATGGCATGGTGGCTGTCAGGATTATGTGAGTTTGGCTTTACCTGATATGGACATCAGCTGTCAAATGCTACAGAACAGAGGAGATAAGATGTGGAAATACTTCCAGAGTGCTGAGCAGCACGCTTGACCTCATTAAATTTAAAGTACTCATTTGATTCTATCTGAAACTATTCAACACAGCCCGAGAGCTCTTGATTTCAGCTAGTGATCTGAAGGTTTCCATCCTTCCTAGCAAAGCCATCACATTTGAATCTACTGAACAGCCAAACAGACTTCCAACCAGAGCAAGTGTAAAATAATTTCCCCTGCTTTATACACCACAACTCTCCCTGCAAGTAAGACAAAAGTTCAGAGAGGAGATAATGCAAATTCTAATGGCATGAAGACAAAGCTTATGGATGCATTTGCTAGTATTATTATAGGAAAATGTTTCTGTTTTCTGAGGTCTCAGCTGGGAAACTGCAGCACAGAAACAATGTCAACTGGGTGTAGTAGGATCTCAAGGGGGCTTCACAGAATGTAGCAGCTTCCTACCAACACAAGCCACTAGCTTCTCAGAGAAGCCCACAGGTTCTATCCTCACTTTGAGTCACTTTGCAACTGGCACTCAGATACCCTCTCCCCCGGCTGGCTCTCTGACTTTCTAGAGGCCACCAAAAGAAGAAGAGTCAGCATCCTAATGCTGGGGTGAGTAAGGGAAGCCACTGGTGATACAGGAGAAAGAAACTCCAACCTACTAGATGTCCAGTATAAGTTCTTGTTCTTAAAATCAAAGAATGAATTTTAGGAACAACAGAGGTTAAGAGCAGAATATATTTTTTTTTTGAGAAAAAGAAAGATTCTGTCTGAGAAAGACAGAAGGAGTCCCAAATGGGCCTCCAAAGACTCTGTCTTTTCTAGGGATTTTACAGAGTAAAACCACAAAGTGAGATAGGTCCCAGATGGGAAAAAATGGGAACTTGCAAGGTGGCATGAAGTGGGACAGAATTATGACCAGCTAATAAGATTATGAGTATAATTGCTCAGGTAAAATTGATTAAATAGGAGACAAATGCGAAAGTAAGTAATGTAGCAAGTGGGCATGTTTTAAGAGCAGTTACTCTGCCTGTAGAGGGTAGGTTAGTGGCTCCTTTTGCTTTCCTCAGGGTGATCGAGACCTATGTAGAATATGGATCCCTAATGCTTTATCCTTAGCGTACAAGTGCATTTGTTTGAACTTTTGTCTTGAAATCTGGCCACAGCAGAGGTGTGGGTCTCCCCAACAATTACAAAGTATCAGGTCTCTGCACTGGTTGCTTCCAGGGGCCAGCCCTGTCTGACTGCCTAGGATACTTCTGTCTAACTCAGCTGCCTGTAACACGGTGGGGTGGGAGTGGGGGACCCTGCTACCTAGGCCTCACGGATTTACACCTTACTCTCATTATCCCGGGCCAGGAGCTTGCCAGCCAGGGAAGTCAAATCACTGGGAAGCAAAGGGAAGTCTTGAGGTTGTAGCAAAATTCAACAATCAGGACTCTTACTGTAGAATCATTTACCTTTCGACCTTTCTAGAAGGAAGATACTGGTCGTGACTGCAGAATTGATGATCAAAATGCAGAGGCCTCTCTGGTCTGTACCCCACTCCCAGGATTCCTGGATGCTGGAACCTGTACTTTTCCCCCTGCACTATCAAACTATCTGGTTCAGAGTTGGTTACATACTGTAAGGGGGGAAAAAGAAATCTCATAGTCTGCAGGAGCATAGTTTTCCGCATAACAAGACTCAAAACACAAGCATCCGGACCTGAGGATTTAGCTCAGTGACATAAGCGCCTGCCTGACAAGTATGAGGTCATGAGTTCCATCCCTGTGTGGGGGTGGGGTGGGGGGGACACAGGCAAGTACCAAGCAAGTTAGCATCACCTGGAAGGTTTCTTCAAAAAACACAAAGGGCCACACACTGTGGCACAGCCTATAATCCCAACAACCTGGGAGGCTGAGGCAAGAGGATCTCGAGTTCCAAGCCAGCTTGTGCAGTTTAGGGAGCCCATGTCTCAAAATGAAAAGTAGAAAACGTTAAAGATGGGGATTAGTTGTAGAATGACACTGGGTTCAGTTTTTTAGTACCACAAAAAAAAAAAAAAAAAAATGCTTCCGTCTAAAAAAACAAAACAAAAAAACCCTCCCACAAACAAACATACAGGGCCCAAGATTTCCTGATTCAGTGGGGGGGGGGGGGGGGAAACCAGGCCAATTTTTAATAAGTTCCCTGGCTGAGTTCCCTGGCTGGTGACTGCACTTCAGAGTCACTCACTCATACCCTCCCACATTCAGGGTGATTAAGAGTCCCAGGGAAGATGTGAAATGCTGATTGCAAGCATAGCCTTCCAAGCCCCAGCAAGGCAATCTCATTGTCCCCTTGATCTCTGCCCCTTGTTGTGCAGCCTGGAGGAGGAGCCTCAAGCTGCGGCAGCTTTGATGAGAACAGCACCTTGGTGAAGGGCTCAGAGGTGCTGGAGAAATGCAGGGACTTTCACAGCATCTTTGTCATCACAGAATAGGACCAACTGCAACACCTGGAGAGCAGCAGATGGCTGCTCCTTAGGGCATCCTAGTGCCATCTCTGAGCGTCTCCTGATGACTCTGTCCAGGTCAGAGGGAGTGGTGGCAGGTGGGGGGGGGAATAAACCTGACCAGAAAGGTCGAGGAATCACCATTCTCTCTACAGGAAGAACTCAGTTACAGAGCAAGGTAAGTGCTGTGCTGAATTTTCATCTATTGCTGCCAAGGTGGCTGAGAAGGAAGGGGATTTGCTAAACATTTGGATTTCCTGCAGGGAGGAAGGAGTAGGAGAGAGGACAGGGAGGAAAGAACCAGGAAGGAAAGGAAAAGAAAGAGCAGAAAAAAGAAGTCAAGGAAAAAGCACACCTAGGAGAGTCTTTATTTCATTGGACATGGATAGCTGGGAATGGCTTGAGGCATAGGCCTTTAAACTGGAGGTGCACTCACAGATGCTATCCTTCCTGTCTAACTGGTCACCTGAGGCCCAAGCACTACCCTAAGACTACCAGGTCTCCAGACAACGAGCCCTCCCCACCCCTAGACCACAGCTCTCCCCCTCCTTTGCCACCCCTGACTGCACTGAGTTCTATGTTTTGTAATTTGGCTGCTCCTCCTGACCCATTAATTCAGCAAGCATGCAGTCTAGTGTTTAGAATTATTTCTGACTGCACACAAATGTGAGTGTGATCAGCCAGGGTGGCAACACAAATAGCAAGTCTAGGAGAGGTTCCCACGGGTTACACACCAGAAGCAGGAACACATCAGCAGATGCTCACACTTACACAAACATGTGCATGCCTGGACATGCACATAATTCTTGCATGTGCATGGGTATAAGTGTAAAATGCTCACATGCATAAAAATGCATGTGTACACAGATTTGTACACATAAACACATGCATGTAAACACATGTACATGCACATCTCTGCAAACTTCAAGCACACACCTGTGATCCCAGCTGTAGTGGTTTAGTTCTAAACTAAACTGTAGTGGTTTAGTTCTAAAATGTTTGCCCAAAGCCACCCTAACTTGGGAGTGGGAAGGGCTTCAGGAAGCTGATCCAATCACAGGGTGCTGAATGTGCTGTTGGGAGATGAGTCACTCACTCCTTTCCTTTCCTCTATGCTTCCCATCCACCATGCTTGGTGTGCACCTTTGCTCCACCAAGCCCTTCTGCCATAGCCTGCCTCCCTCAGAGCCAGCCCTCCATGGAGTAAACACAGGAGCATAAATGAAGCTCTCCTTGTTCAAGCTGAGGATGACAGGTATTTTGTCCCAGCAAGCAGAAGTGACTAAAACAGAGGCCGAGATAAGAGTTTAAGGCCACCTCGGGCAACTTAATAAAACCCTGTGTTAAAGAAGGGCTGGGAATGTGGCTCAGTGTGAAGTCCCTGGGTTCATATGTATATACATACATACATGCATACATACATACATGCATCCTTTGACTTTGAACTTCGGTCTCCAGTGTTCTGTGGCCTCTGTTAACCTCCTGCAATATGTTGAACAGGACTCTTTCTTCTCAAAGCACTGGATGGGGCAGGTTTGTGTCCCAAGTGGCCTCTGCTGCATTCTCCTATCACAGAGATAAGGGACTGGTGGTCTCCTGCCCTGGCCACCTCCACCTCCTGTTACGCACAAGAAAATTTCCATCATGGAGACCAAGTCACAGGAAAGCACTGGCCACTGCACTTCCCCCATGCTTGCACTTACACAGGATCAGAAGCGAATACACACATTCTTGTAAAGCTTGTGCATGCTAGGGCTTATACCTTGGTGAAGATGATCAACTCTGCTCTCCCTGAACTCAGGCAGGAGACCTAGGAGGCAGGCAGGACAAAGACCCCTCCTTTCCATCACCTGGTTGCTGTCTATATCTTGGACCAGGCCCCTCCCAGGTGCCCAAGTACTCAGGAGTCCAGGTGCCCAGGTGTGTTGGAACCCTGATGTGCAGTTACACAAGTGCACATTTGCGCAGGTTCTTAGGTGGGGTGACAGTGGGAAGCTGTTTCTTTCTCTGGTGATCAAGGATTAAAGAGGCTGTGGTCTCTACAGAGCAGCAAGGAAACTGATTCATGAAAGGATTTCATAGCCCTGGTGAGAACAAAACCATTATCAACAAACCACTTTGGTCCTTTCTTTTTCTGGCTTTTCTGTTCATAATGTGTACATACCTCTATTTTCAGCAGCTTGAAGCTGTCAGAGACCTGACTGTGTAAGTGCCTGGCAAAGGGTTGTAACACCTCTGTTGAAAAAAGAAGCCGGGATCAGCAGCTGCTGCAGCCAGACACAGAAAGACCAGCAGCAGGATTTGGGCTCACCCCAGCAAGGGCTTCTGAAGTCTCCCTTTGGCCATCATCAACCAACTCTGCCTCCACAGGAGAGCCAGTGTAAGGGTCAGGGTTTCCTAGAGAAACAGGTATATATATATATATGAAAATCTCCAAGGCAGGCTTGCATCAACCACCCACCAAGTTCTTTCCCCAGAACCATACACAGTTTTGGTTTCTGGGTGCTGGGTTGGAGCCCAGGGCTTCAGGTATGCTAAGCAAGTACTTTGTACCTGATATACACTCACATCCTAATCTGTAAGAACTGAGACAGAATCAGTTACCCAGGATAAAAAGACACCCTGTAGCAGTTGTCCAAGGTAGAAACCAAGTGGGCTATGGGAGTATTAAACAACCCTGTATTTCATTTTCATCCCATTAAAATTACAGTTCTGTCACCATCAGGCATGGTCTGATGCTTGGCCAGGCTGTGGGAACACCAATTTCTAACATCATTTGTGTATATTGCTTCAACACAAGGACCTCTCCATGGGACTCCTCAACTGTTCTCACACTATGACACCTGGCTTTCCCAAGAGCAAGAAGCCTAAGAGACAGCAAGCAAGAAGAAAGTGGTGATGTGTTTTACCGTCTGTCCTCTGAAAGCACACCCACCCTTCCAGAGTGGTCCAGAATATTCCACTGGTCAGCTTCACCAGAGTAGGAGGAGACTGCACAAGGATGAAGGCTCAGAAGGGAGAAAGTGCCTGGCACCATCTTGGAAAGTGACTACTTACCAGTTTCCCAGAGAATTATGGGCACTGTCAAAGGTAGAAGTCTCACACTCGAGCTGAAGGTCTGCAGCCTGGCTGGCCTTGAAACAGGAAGACCACCAATTCCAAAGTCAGCATCCTTTGCAAAGGGGCATAGTGAATGGTTCATTCAATATAATGAAGCTATCAAAGGTCAAAGATGATCTACCCTTGTGGATGGCTAAGAAGCAAAAGCTGACTTCTTCCTTCTCTCCTTCCTTCTTTCCTCTCTTCCTCCCTCCTTCTTGCTTTGAGCCAGAACACACACCTTTGGAGAGATCATCTTGCCCATCAAGCACCTGACATGAGCATGAAGGTACACATGGAGGGCCAGAAAGAGGAAGGAAATAGTGCCAGGAGTGCAGAGGAGAACAAGGGGCTACAGCACAGTTCCATGGGGACTCGTCCTCTGGAGCTTCAGTGGTATGACAAGGATTTATCTCCTAAAAGCATGTGGTGGCACATGCTTTTAATCCCAGTGCCCAGGAGGCTGAGGCAAGAGGATCACTGCAAATTTGAGACCAACCTGGACTACAAAGTGAGTTCAAAGCCAATCTGAATTGCATAAGGAAATTTGTCTCAAAAAAAAAAAAAAAAAAGCTTATCACCTGCTTTGCCAAGGCTATGAGTCAGCTTTGCTTGAATCCCACTTCTTCTGAGTGTGTCTGCAGGAGTGACTGGCATATAGGTGAGGGGAAATACCTGTCCTAATTGGCTGGCACCATCCAATAGTCTTGTCACCTGAATGGAAGCAAAAGGGGAAGGAGGAGAAAGTCTGTCTGCACTTGCAAGCTCAGTTGTGCTCCAGCAAGCTGTGCCTCTGCTATGGATATGGACATCAGCCTCTAGATTCTGTGCTGTAGCCCCTTGTTCTCCTCTGCACTCCTAAAAGTCACTCACAAAAGTCACTTTTTACAGAGGTTTTAGGCCTTCAGTCTCAGACTGCACCCCCCCCCCTTGACTCACCTGTTCTGAAGCTTCCAGCTTCTTGGACTGAAGAGCATGTTCCTCTAGAGATCCCAGTCCATGGTGTCCTTTACCATGACATTAGATAAGGAGCAAAGCAAAACTGAGTGTAATGTTACCATAATGGAAAATAACTCAGAACAAAATACAGAAACATGGGAAGCATTACATCAAAAGCATCATAGTCTCCTTTTATCTTGCAGACACAAATATTTTAAATTTATAACCTACTTTTATTGATGATTTGCATTTCTTGGGAAGTAGTTATAATTTTAAAAACCACATCCAGGAACAAAATATATTCTGCAGCTGGTTGTGACCCCTGCCTTCTTCTAGCTACAATAATAGATTCACTATGAGAAAAAGGATGCAAAATATTCATTAATCATTTTTGCATTTACTGCAAGGTGAAATGGTGGCATTCTTGACATATTGCTCGGCTACATATATTAGTAGAATTAATTTCATCTGGTTGTAATTTGGCATGATGGAACTGTCAGAGAATTTACCACTACCAATTTGACTGGTACAGGTGGATGACATATTTCTGTGGGACCAGGTTTGAGACGCTTTTTTCTCATTTCCTTTGTGATTTCCTCTGAGGGAATTTTTTGAAGGGAGGGTTGGCTTTGGTTTTGGTTTGTTTAGTTGTGTTGTTTTTTTTTTTTGTTTGTTTTGTTTTGTTTTTTTTTTTTTTTGAGGCAGAGTCACATAGTGTATACTTCAGGCCAGCCTTGACTTCAGAATGTGTGGAAGCTCTCCTGCCTCAGCTTCCAGATTGCTGGGATTACAGCCATGTACCACCATTGCTCATACATAGTGAGGTGGTCAGAACATCAGTTTCCCAGCTTCAGATGTGCAGTTTGGGGATGGCTGGGTCTTTCATCCATTTCTTTCTGAGGAAAGCAGTCACTTAGTATCTTCCTGGGCAAGCCAGGAATTTGGTACCATGCTCTCAGAAAGTGACTTGGAATGGTCACTAATACAAGTCCTGTGCCATTGCCCATGGTGGAAACCCAGGTGCGATGGTTCTGTGTTCACCCCTAATACTCCAGAGTGGGACAGGCTTCAAGTAGACACTGTGGTCTTCTAGAAAAGTTGCGACCTTTATTCCCAGAGACACAAAAAGTATGCCCAGAACAAGCTTCTGAGTCACAAAAGACCAACGCTCTGAAAGCAGAATCACATCAGGGACCTCCTCTCCACAGCTCTGTCCACGGGCACTGAAGCCCATAGCACTGGATTCTCCCTGGAAGTGGATCTCAGGAAGCAACACCTACATGCTTGATACTGCACAGGTGTCCCAGTACCAGGAGAAAGCAGAGGCCCAGCCCTGAGCAAATCCATGCCTTGGTGGCTGCGGACAAAAATGGCGAGCACTGGAAAGAAGCATATGGGAGCAGGATAGCATATGCCTTGCCATTAAAGCTGGAACTTGATGCTTTGACATTTTAATGGCAACTCTTCCCTTCTCTGGGATCACGCCTCCTTTCCTCATTTTATTTTTATGCATATTAATTGCACAAATGGATGGAATTGGGTATGACACTTTCCTACACTCACAGAAAAGGACTTGGGCATCCTCACTCTCTCGCTCTTCCCCTTTTTGCTTCCATTTGTTCCCACTTCCCTCACAGTCTCGCTTCTGCTTTCATATCAGCTTTGTTTCAGGTGTTTCCAAGATTTCATATAGGTAGGAAAATGTGCAAGACCACTTGTTTGGAGTCTGGCTTACATCACCTAACACGATGATTTCTAGTTCCATTTACTGAGCTGCAAGTGATGTAATTTTGTTCTCCTTTATGGCCGATTAATATTCCACTGCTCCCTGCAACACAGGTCCCTTCCCCCTTCACCAAAAGCCCCAAACCTACAAAAGTGACATTTTGAACAACTGCAAATTGCCCAGGAATTCTCCACTGAGTCAAGAAGCAGGAGAGCAGTCAGGGATGGCGAAGGACAGGTGATCAAAAATACAACCAAGATCAGAGGACAACAGGCAACCAAGGAGACGGCAGACACCCGTGGGAAGGCTGCAATTCAGAGACAAATGGATGCGGGCGGGTTTCAGGTCACCCAAGAGTCACTACAGTTTCCTCCTCTTCCTGAAAGTCTTCATTCATTATGGAGTTCTGGGCATTAAACCTCATGCAGCGCATCAGTTCCTGAACCCACAGACTCGAGTTAAAACAATCATAGGAATGATTTACTCAGGTGTTTCACAAAATTCCAGCTCTTAGGGTGGCTCCTGTGAGTGTCAGAATGGATCCTCCACAAGCTTCCAAAGTGACCACTTGAATGCACTGAGGTGAAACCAGGAGAGGTTCCTTTGCTTCTTCTTGGTCACATCCTTAACCCAGGGATGTCAAATGTGACCTTTGAGTGATGTGTCCCAGACAAATGCCCCCTGACTCTTCCTGAGACATTTTCTACTAGGGATGATCAAATAGATGGTGAATGTTTAAATTTAACAAGTATTTAAGGTCAGGCGTCGTGGCATATGCCTGAGTGTCCAGCACTCAGGAGGCAGGATTGCCGTGAAATCAAGGCTAGTCTGGGCTACATCATGAATTTGAGGTCAGCCTTCACTGCATAGTGAGACCCTGTGTCAGGAAAAGAAAATTACAGTAAAAGACACATTGGATGAACCCCTTCAAAAGTCCCACAACCACCCTGGGATTTGAACACACTGTATTCTTCTGAACATTTTCTGCAGCAGTTCTGGAATTCTATTTTCCTGAGCATCCTTCTGAGGTGTGATCAAAATACAGTAAGGCTGATGCCAAGCACCAGCCAGGGAAGGGCAGGCTTGCCACAAACATGACACCAAGTCCACATCTGCCTCATACACTGGATCTGGCACCATGTTACTTCCAGCTCATCCCCAAGGTCAAAATGACCAAGAAAGGTTAGCATTTCAAATCCATTCAGGACATGGAGGTAGCCACCACAGACACTGGGTGTGGGGAGGAAGAGAACCCCAGAGCTGCTGCAGATAGTGGCAAAGGTGATAGGATGAGTGTGTTGGAAGCGAACGGGAGGGTTCTGAAGAGGATTCGTGGCAGTGCATCTGGTGCACTTATAAATTCTTTAACTTAAGTCCAAGATGTCTCAATCATACAACACAGCAGCAGCTTCTGCACACGCTGACCTTGTAGACTCAGGTCTGAGGCTGCTGTGCTTTGACTTTGGGTGTTGCCTTCCTTTCATGTCCCCAGCATCCCTGACTGTGTGGCTTGGAAGTCTCCATTTCCTCCTTGTCCTCTGAGTTTCTGAATTTCTGAGGAGGGGACATTTCAGAAACAAGCTGCCACCATGCTCCTAGAAAACCAGAAATTACATCCTTGAACATTTTTACAAAAATATTTCATACCTTCTCTTTTCCGTTTTCATTTTTATTTTTCCTTCCCTTTTCCCTTTCTGCTATTATTCAGCTGGTGGGTTTGCAGCATGGTTCTGACACTGAGTATGCCTATGTTATCTTTTTTTCTCCTTTACCCTATATCTCTTTGCTGTTGATGCTCACAAGCACCATTTTTGGGTCCGTGCCTAGTACTATTGTACTAGGGTTTAAACATGGGGTCTCGAACTAATCAACATTCCCATCCTCTTTAAAATTTTATTTTAGATAGGGCATCACTAAGTTGCCCAGCCTGGGTTCCAATGCAAGATCCTCCTGACTCAGCCTCCTGAGGAGCTGGGATTACAGCATGGACCCCATCTTCTTCCCCACACCCTGCTGTCTTCATCCTTTTGTTCTTCTCTCTGGGAAACTCCTGAGGAAGTGAGCCCCTCTGTGATGTCCATATCCCTTGGCATGTAAAGGTCTACAGCAGACCTTGCCTTGGATGGGAGACTTGCTAGAGTGATCACACTGGCCTCTGCTAATGTGGGTGTCCAGCTGTCCATGCAGCGGGAACAGCCTGCGCTGAGTTTGTTTCGTGGTTTCCCTGTTGAAGGATCCTAGATGTTCTTTGGAGCTGTGATGCTGTGGTCATTCATTTGTGTGGACATGAAGCAGATGCTCACAAGCACCATTGCTGGGTACATGCTTGTTTATGGGGTTGGATTTTAGAAGACTTTTAAATGCTAAACTGAAGAGGGTTTGGATTTTACTTAATTACAATGGAAAATGTTTGGTATCTGGATACAATAAAAGTATTATAGTGTGAAAAAATAGTAGTGTCGTGAGGTATGGGGACTCAACTGCATGTGAGGAGTGTGACCTGTCCCTGTCATCAAAGAGTGGGAAGCAGGAAAAAACAAATGGGAGAGGAATGCAGATTTAAATAGATCTAGGGAGCAAGGATCTCAAGGGTCTTACAGAGTATATTATGTGACTTACAGAGTATTTCCTATGACTTGGAGAGGAATACCTAACCCCTGCAATTCTTAAATAAGGAGGTGTTTCATTTGGCTCACAGTTCAGGGGCTTCAGTCCACGGTCAGCCAGTTCTGAGGCAGAAAGGGTGTAGCAGAAGGGCCTGGTGGAAGACAGCTGCTCCCCTCATGGTGGACAGGAAGCAGACAGAAAAGAAGGGAGCTGAACACAAGAAAAACACCCTTCCCACAGTGCATTCTTCTGACCAGATCCCATCTCCCAATAGCACAGTTGGCCACGCACCACCATGAATTGAGCAGTGCTGTGATCCGGGCCCTGCCAAAAGCCTCCGTGCAAACACATGTAACTGGGAAGCATTTTAGATTTAAACATAATACACCCTTAATGCCACCACTAGCGGAAAAAAAAAAAAAAAGAAAAACCTCTGGATCTCATCAGCCCCCAGAAAAGCAAACTACCCCAGAAACTAGTTGTGTTTCAATGTACTTTTACCAGCATGTGCAGGTAATGTTAAAAATGTCTCTGACGAAGAACATTCACAGCACAGGTAAGAGCAGACAGACATTGTCCACCTAATTTTTTCCTGTCTGCAACCCTCATGTACTGCTTTTAATAAAATAAAACATGATGTTTTTCTGTGGATAAATGGTGATTTCCCCCTAATATATTCTAATTCAAACTATTTTCAGAAAGCCTGATTTGAAAATTGCTCCCATCGCTATAAAAAGCCCATGTATTTTGAGAATTAAAAGATGAGAAACAAGAGGGAAAAGATAGTTCAAAAAAAAAAAAATTCCAGTCTGTCTGGTTGCAACTCAAGCCAAGAATCTAATGTCCTGAGAAAATAATTCACAGGAGCTTTAGAAAGAGCAGAACCCAGACAAAAATAAACCTCTGGCAAATGGAGTCTGAACAAGAATCCATCAGAAAAATCTAATTTGAAAAATATATCATCGCACCTGTACATCTTATTTGGGGTTCTTTAAAGGAAAATTACTATTAAATCTTTGTAAAGAGCCAGTCCAGCATTATCTCTCTGTAGGTTTTCATCATAGGGCCATAGCGTATCTATTTGGGTATCTGTTTTGTCTAGGTTCTTGTTTTCCTGTGGCTTTTATTTTTAAGGGCTGTTTTTCTAACAAAACCTTAGGGGTAGAGAGCGACACCCCCACCCCCATGTGATTTGTTTCCATTTTTACTGCTCTGGAAAGCCAGTGTCAGAGAAAACACAAAAGCAAGAAAAATAAGCAAGGAGGAGAGGACAGCTGCAGAACTTCCGTGCTTGGTGTGTGAGCCAGGGCCAGCTCTTGGTTGAGATGCAGTCACATAAAACAAAGGGTGACCCCAGCCTCAAACCATGGATCCCTGACTCTCATGGATGCTTCTCTCCGAGGCTTTTGCTTTGCACACTCTTGGCCTCTGCTTCCCCTACAAGGGACACACTGTTCTCATCCCACAAGGGGACACTGGGTCACGCCCATTGTCACAGAGCCTTTCAAAACTCCAAGCCACTTCCCACCAGGATAAGTTTTATGCATCTCAGAGCACCTGGGAGCTCTGGCTTTCTTTTGACACCAACAAACAATCTGCCTCTTTTCCTAGGCAGCCAAGGCTAGGAAGAGTTGGGACCCAAGCCAGCTGTGTTTTTCTTGTCAGTGTTCACTTTTTGCAGCACCAGGGATGGGACCCAGGGCCTTCACACTATCTACATCCTGCTTATTTGTATTTGTGTTTTAGTTTGATACAGGTACTTACGAAGTCACTAAATTTCCTGGGTTGGGCTCAAATTTGTAACTGTCTTGTCTCAGCCTCCCAAAATCCTGGAATGACAGATGTGTACCACTGAACTCAGTCAGAGTCCTTGATACAGAGTTTGCAAATTCTGAATTATTCAAGATCTTCTGCTCTGTGACTATACTCATTACTGAACCACCAGACAAACACTGTCAGGGATGAATGATCTGTTTGCTTCTACTGCCATGCTGGGAAGTGAGGAACTTCCAGTCAAGGAAAGCAGGGAAGCTATAATTCAAAGACTAAAACTGAGCCTACCACAGTGGTATCCACCTATCTGGGATGCTGAGGCTGGAGAATCTGTTGAGCCCAGAAACCTAAGTCCAGCCTGGGCAGCATCATGAGACCCCATTTCAAAACAGTAAAAATAAAATAAAGCTTAAAAATGGTTGTGTATATAAAGGTTTTTAAATCTTTCACCTATTAAACAAGAACATAATTTTAAAATCACTTTCATTCTTTTTCCTTTTTCTTTGAACCCAGGGGCATTCTAACACTGAGCTCCATCCTTGGACCTTTCTAAATTTTATTTGGAGACAGGGTGTCACTAAGTTTCCCCAGCTTGCCTGGAACCTTGCCATCCTCCTGCCTCAGCCTCCAGGGCAGCCGGAATTACAGCTATGTACCATCACTCCCAGAACAATGTGACCAGAAGCAGATCCTATTTAACATCCTTGAAGTTGCTGTTTTGGAACTCATGCTTTTAAAACCCGATTCCTTGTTCTGGCCCACTGACCAGCTTGAGGGGAAATGGGTCTGGGTTTGCCAAGCACCTTCCCACATCAGCAAGAGCACACATGTCATTTGCCATGGTGGTGCAATGACCTTCACTGGCTGGGATTCACCTCTGGGGTCCACCACACCCTGAGGCTCAAATGGCCCTGCACACCCAATGGAAAACAGCAGAAACAACCATGTGTGACTTCTGAAAAAAGCCGCCAACACCTGACACACTTTTACCTTGGCTTTTGGGCCACCCATCTTAGAAGATATTGGCCGCCATGCTGTGAGGAGAGATCCAGCTAGAGAGACACAAATGAGACCCTCTTTCCTCAGCTGTGTCTCCCTGTGCTCACAGCCCTGAGTGATGCCTGAGACCCCCAAAGTAAAAGTTATTCCTGGCCCATATAGACACAGAGGGAAGAGAAACCATGGCCTCTGTTTTAGGCCACAAGATTTGAGGGGTGATTTATTATACAGTCATACAAACTGAGACACACACATACATATACCAAACATGACTCATAAAACAAAGGACTCAGCTCTACTAGAAAAAGATGTTTTGCCAAATCTCAGACCTGGTAGAGCATTACTTAGTAAATTAGATACTATGACTTCTTTTCCTTATTCATAGTTTTTAAAGTTTCCAAACATTGAATGTGGATATTTCCATACATCAGGTTAAGTGTTGTTCTCAGAGCCAATATATCTCGCCCTGTCAAGTTGCTTTTTCTGGTTATATTCTTGGAAGAGTTTTGCCCTATAATAAATTACAGGACATTATCGCTGTAGTTCAACATGGTGGAAGGCCAAATCGGAGATGCTTATCCTAATGGCCACTTCCTTCTTCTTCTCGGATTATAACTTTTCTTCCTTTCCCCCATGCACACAAAGAAAATTCCAATCAGCTCCTCTCATGTTATCAATGCCCACCCGAAGCCCCACATCTGCTCAGAGGTCACTTATACCCCACACCCTCATATCCAGTCAGAAGAGAAAGCCTAACCATTGCTGGCTGTAGGGTCCTCTCCACGTCCTTTAAATAAAAAGGCCACTTTTACTTTTTCTTATATCCTGCTCGTTTATTGCATTTGAAAACTATAATTCTGATAAAGAAAGTAGAGAAATGCCATATGCTTCCCCCAAATTTTCCTATAACTTTCTAGAGAGGGATGCCAGAAACCTGTGTGAATTATGCAATTGTTATGTACTGTTTAATGGACAAAAAATAGGAACTAGGTGGAGACAGCGTAGGCCACAAGTTAATTTTTTCCTAGAACATGTGGAACAAGATATTAAGCAGTTTTTCTACACTGGAGATTGAATGCAGAGCCATACATACCCCCTCTTTATCTTCATTTTCAGACGGGATCACAATAAGCCTCTAAACTGTCCATTCTTAAACTTCTGAACCTCCTGCCTCAGACATCAGAGTGCTAGGATTACAAGTATGGACCACCTCTCCTGGTTTAGAGGCTTTTTTGAGGTAAATTATTAAGGTCCAGCCTTGAGATAAAAATTTAAAGTATTCCATAAAATATTTGCATCGGTGAAAGATTAAACTCAAGGTTGTGTTTCTTGGCTCTATGTGTGAGAGGGGTTGCACACTAAAAGCTATATCATGAATATAACTCTACTGGGTAGACCAAATCCTTTATTTTTAAGAAATAAATTGTTTCTCTGGCTACGCAGAGACGTTCTGCAAGCCAGACATTCTGCATTTGTTGTTTCTTATGATTATTGTACCAAGAGGAACTTCTTATCAATTCTTTTAGTCAAATGGATGAAGCCAGTCACAGAATGAAACTCAGGAGTGCTTACAGCAAAATTCACAAAAGTGTTTGAGGGAGGCCAGAGTTCAGGCTCCCAAAGAGAATGCAGTTATCATGAGGCATAACCTTTAAAATAAAAATGAAAATGCTTCCCTCCTGCAAATTCCCAAGCATGCAGATCTGCCTCTTGCCATCCTGGGAATCAGCCAATTGTAATGTTCCCCTCACAGTGCCCTCAGCCACCTGTATCTCCGTCCACAGTGCCACCTTCTCTCCACAGGACCCTCCATCCATGTAGCTGTGGGTGCCCAGTGTTTAATCTGTGAACCTCACTTTTGGAATTCATGCCTGCAGTGGCATACAGAAGAAATCTTCTCATTCTATTATGGTCCCTGGTCAAGAGGAGAGGAGAAAGACCTTCCCCCTTGCCGCCCACCTGCCAACCAATGGGATGGAAATCAAGACAGAGAAGTTGGAAATTCATTTTAAGTCCTGTTTTCGTGACTTTCCAAGTGATGGTTGGTTTCCTACATTGGGTCTGAAATTATACGAACAAAGAACAAGAAAACAAGAATCCATAAAATAGCCCTAAATTCAAGGGGTCACTTGCAGGCGAGACCTTCTGGAGGTCAGGGGAAATCAGTGTAGGTCAGAGGAAGGGGCTTTTCCTGGGGAAACACTGGCCGTTCTCATCAACTGGCGGAGAACTTTTTTTTTTTTTTCCCTTTATGTTTTTTACTTCCTTTCTCTTCAGCCAAACATACATCTCTCAGAACTGTCTTATATTTTGCCTGATTTCAGCAGCTGCATGGGAAGAAGAAAAATAATCTCCAATTTACAGAAACTAGATACAGACAACCCCTGTGGGTTTCCTTAAAATGCTCATGTTGGGAGGATGAGGCAGAAGGATCCCAAGTTCAAACCCAGCCTGTCTGTTTGGTCACACCCAAGGGGACTTTGTAGCCTGGAGCTTTTCTATCACTCCCTAACAGTGTCCTCCTTATCACTGATCTTGGTGTGAGAGGAGTGCCATGGCCTAGACTGTGAAAGCTATAAGTCCCTAAGTGGTTGGTGGAGCTCCTGGTCATCCCATGCAGGAGTCACAGTGTGCTCATCAGTCTCCAAGGGGCCCCCCATAGCAAGGCTCAGACATCCACTGATGGTGGTAGGTGGTCCCCACTTCCCCAAGGAAAAATGGTGACCATTATATGCTAGCGTGATGCCCTACGAACTGCACCATGTTGGATGTTTCTTCCTCCTCTCTAGGGTTTCTGGCCCCCACATGACTATAATGAACAGCGCTTGTCACACTCAGAGTTTTTCCACTCCAGATTGCCTGAGCAAGACCCCAACTTTCAATCCTCCTGCTTCAGCCTCCCAAGTGCTGGGATTATTGGTATGTATCACCATGAACAGCTTTTAAACCCATCTTAACCCTCTGTTCTGCTGTTCTCATGCTGTTTTTAGCTCTGTAACTCTTCCGCTTGATACCTTACTAACTCAGCAAAAGGTTCTGGTGCTTTTAGAGCCTGATTAACAAGCATAAAAAACCTAGGCTGTATGACAAGGTTTCGTATTCACAGCACAACTCAGGCTGCACTGTTTACCACACTTCTATCACCTGCAGGAAATGCAGACAAGGTCGCAGTTCTGTGATATGTTATCCTTCTGGGGACTCCCTGCACCCCTTCCCAGGTGCAGAAGCAGAAAGCACTGGCCCGGGAATCCCTCTGAGTAAATTCTCCTAGCTGTTTTATTCCCATTCTCAGCAAGAGTTTAGATTTGAGATTTGTGCCTTATGGAAACTCATACAAATAATTCCACTTAATTCAGGCTGAGCGGGCAGCGTGTGCAAACCAGGGAGCAGAATGCCTTTCGGTCCCATGATGATGTGCATGCACATTCACGGAACCTGTACTTAAAGTAACAGTTGTTTGCAATAGAGATTGATGATAATGATTTTCTCTAGTTATGGTAGTTATGGTTATACACAAATCAAATAGTGTTGTGGTCCCAATGTGCCCCCCCCCAATTAATTGCCAGGTTGAAATTTAATCTCCAAAATAATGGCACTCAGAGGAAGGGTTTCTGGGAATGTTGAGGTCATGAGGGAGGAATCTCAGGAATGGAATTAAGGTCTGCATTAGTTAGTTTTGCTGGAGCTGGAACAAAATACCTCGCAATTGCACTGCAGGGAGAAGCTTATTTCAGGTTCGGTGGGTTCAGCCCATGGTACACTGGTTCCAAGGCAGAAACATCAAGGCATGAAGGAAGGGCATGGCAGAAGAAAGCTGAAAGCCAGGAAACACAGAGGGAGACGAGGAGTCAGGGACAAGAACACAGCATTTAAGGCCACACCCTCAGCGAACACTTCCAACCACCTCTACCTCAGAGCAGCAGGGTCAGCTGTGGACTCATCAATGGACAAATCCACTCATGAATATGACGCCACATAATGCAGTCACCTTCCAAACTCTTAAGACTTTGGGAGGCAACTGATATCTATCTAAACCATAACAATGTCTTTATGAAAGAGATGCCAGACAACTCCCTGCCCTTGCTACCCTGGGGAAACAGCAAGAAGGTGCCATCTATGAGCCAGGAAGCAGCCTTCACCAGACACGGAATCTGCTATGCCTTGACCATGAACGGCTGGTATCCAGAACCACAAGTTATCTCTGTTTATAAGCCACCTCGACTATGGTCTTTTGTTCTATGAGCCTCCATGGGTTAAGATGACATATGCTGGAATCAAGTATTTCACAGTGGAATAACATGTGCACACACACACATACACACGCACACACGCATACACACAGAGGCATACACACCATCTACAATGAGGCAGTCCATGCATATGCACAGATACACATACAGCAACTGCTCTCTGCCATGGATGGTAGCATTACCTTTTAAGATCCTTGCCAGAAATCTCCAGCTAAAACAGAAGCATGACAAAACAATCAGACAAACACAGATCCTAGGACACTTAAGAAGACAGCTGGCCAAGGTTTTTCCAAGGAAGTTGGTGCCTTGCAGGAAACACCAAGGGCTAGGAGCAGACTATTTCAGTGGGAGGAAATTACTGGGTCACTGCCAAATGCATGCATGGCTCTTAATTAGACTCTAGTCTCAGGCTTTTTAAAAGATAGTGACAAGTGCAAAAAGGTTCTAGGAAACACCCAAGGGACATAGGTGTTGAGGCATGTGAAAGCCACATGGAGAGTCCCTGCGTAGTAGCCTGGGGCAGGCCTGGGACGAGCTGGCCTGCTGACATCACTAGGTTGAGACTCAGGGTAAGGGCAGTAGGAAGAGCTGTGATCCCCAAAGAGCAGTTGAGAGGCTGCTACATAAAGTGGGGGCTTTGGGGCAGTTTTCACCTTCAGGAGTCATCTACTAGTGGCAGCTATTTCAAAGGAAAAAACAAGAGGTCCCATGCAAAACTTTTAAAAGGTGGCAAGTCATTTAGAAAGCCTTGAAGTCGCATTTGGAAACCATCACCCCGATAATGCCTGCACTGGTTTATATCACAAGGAAAGTTATTTCGATGGCAGAGGATTAAACGGAATCCATTCTTAAGCTTTTTATCCACGTTTATGTATTTTACTAAAGATTTAGTATGCTGGGTAATTTAGAAGGTGCAAAGATAACAATGCTGAGCCAAGTATCTATTACATGGTACATACACATTCAGTTTTGGTTGATTTTCTTCCAGTGCAATCTCTTGACTTCTAACAATTAGTACCTGCATGAGCAAGCTATTGATTATCATCCTTTAAACTTGGACATTTTGTTTTATTTTTGAATTTTTTGAGATACTCACTATGCAGTTCAAGCTGGACTTCAGCTCACTTTGCAGCCCAGGCTGATCTCAAACTCGCAACCATCCTCCTGCCTCAGCCTTTTGAGTGCTGGGCATGCAATACCACACCCACCTTGTTTTGGTTTTTGTTGTGAGACAGGGTTTCCCTTATGTAGCTCAGGCTGGCCTCAAACTCACAGCAATGGCCCTGGGATTACAACAAACATCATCATGGCCCGGCAGATGATGGAAAATTTCTAGTGAAAAGCAAAGCTAAGGTGGATAGTCAGGCATGATTCATTGGCTGCAAAGTGGATAGGACCAAAATTGTTCCCATTTTTCCTCAATACTGAGAAGCGCTTATAACAGCCTTTAACTGGGAACCTCCTGGTATTTCAGTGGCATGTATGCTCCTGTAAGTGCCCCAGCACTCTGCTGTGGTTCAATTCCCAGCCCCAAATCTGTTTCTGCACACAGCACCAGATCATGGCTGTTTGTTACTGGAATCAAAAAGTGATTACAACTCAGGATATTTTCTGACAGCATGGAGATCAGTTCACAATGCCACTCACGGCAGTAAAAAGGCCTCACTGAGTGAGGACAGAGTTACCACTTCAACAGTTCTTTATGAAAATCCCTTTCAGGTATCAGCTATCAGAACTCCAGCCATGGTAGTTTCATCTCTCTCTTGCCTGTTAGATGACAATGCTGGTTTTCAAATGACCTCACTGAAGTGTGCCCTCCAAGTTTACAAGAGCCAGACAGAAATTCTCTGCAGTTTTCTTTGCCTCTGCAGGATAAACGATGGTCAACCTACCTTCCCTGCCTTCCCTGTAGTATGAGCCAGGAGGCACTGACACAAGCCTGGACACACAAGAGCACTCATACTCATACTATTTCTTCTCATTTTTAAATTTCATTTAGTTCTGGGGTGAACTCAGGGTCTCACACGTGCTAGGCAAGTACTCTACCCCAGAGCTACATGTCCAGCCCTGTCTTTAAAGGGGGGAGGGGGGGGAAGAAAAGGCTAGGATAAAAAAATCAATCTAAGGCTGGGATACAGTTCAGCAGCATAAGTGCTTGCCTGACAAGTGCAAGGTCCTGAGTTCAATCCCCGATACAAAAAAAAAAAAAAAGACTAAAAGGCATCATAAACCAGTGGCATGCTGATGCACACCTGTAATCCCAGGACTTGGGAGGCTGAGACAGGAGGATCACTACAAGTTCGAGACAAGCCTGGGCTACTAAGCAAGCTCAGAGCCAGCTTAACTAGCATAGCAAGACCTTGTCTCAAAAAGACTCCCCAAAAAACCAATCCAAACAATACTTTTCTATATGGTAGTTGAACTATCTTGCAAAGCCAAATTTTCCATTTAGAAGTATACTCTTCCTCTCTTCAAACTGAGGTGAGGTCACACACAGCTGCACCATTTAAAATTCAGTATACCTTTACTGGTGCTTGGTAAGGGGCATCTTTCATATATCGTCCATGGCTATTTTCTGCTACAACCGAGTCAAATAGTTGAAGAGCTATTAACGACAGCCTAGTGCACCCACTGCAGACAAAGTTCACTCCCTGCTTGAAGTGGTAGCCTCTCACAGAGGCAGTATACACATGGCATGTGCCATCCGAAAACTTTTAGGAGCCATCTTTTAAAAAGACAATGTGGGGAAAATTACTTTCCATGATGCATTTTGACTCAACAGAGTGATGGGTGGCTCGATGGGGAGGTTATGACCTGAGAGGGATTCCAGTAGACAACCATGCAGTGGTGTGAACAGCAGGGCTCACTTACACAAAATGTGGGTGTCACATGGTCACAGGGGATGGGGCTCACAGGAGACTGCCACCTTATACCAGGGCCAATGGTGGTGGCCACATCATATGCAAAATAAGGTAGAACATGAAAAAGTACTAGTGAAAGACATTTCTAACTTTTTCATTTGAAGTCCAGGAAGCCTGGTGGGTCTCAGGGATAAAATCAGCAAGCCACCAGTCAGCAGCTCCGAAGGTTGTGCATCTGGTAAGCGGTGGGTACCTGGGCAGTCCTGGCCCAAGGAGCCAGGAGACAAAGGGGTGGACAGTTCCCAGCCAGCCGCCAGCTTCAAAAAAAGTGAGGCCACAGTGAGATGCGATTGTGGTGCCTTCTGCCCATTCATCATGTTTCTGAAATTCAAAGGTGTTGTGTCTGCGAAATCTCAGGCTCCTGTGTCTTCCAGCTCATCAGTCCAGACCCAAGCCAGAGGCAGCAAATGCAAGACAGGATGGTGAGTGTGCAGTGCAAACTCATGGGCTCAACCTCGAGTACCAACGGCATGCAAAAGAAAAAATACACAAGAGAAAGTTTTGACTCCCCGAGACCCGAGGAACCCCTAGCAAGAAACACAGGCTTGACACCAAAAGTCTCTGAGTTCACTGCAAGTAATTTTCCCTACTCATCTCTTCTTTGGCTACAGGAAATACAGGGCAGCCCTTGGGAGCACTTGGATGCTGGGAACCAGGGGCCTCCAGTCAGCTGAGGCAGTGGAAAAATTTTTTATTTTCCCCAACATTTCCAGTATTGAGCATTTAACCCACAGTCTTCACACTGAACTACATTCCCAGCACATTTTTTACCTTAAAATGGGGTCTCACTAAATTGCTGAACAGATCAGGCTGGGCTGGCACTTGAATCCTCCTGCCTCAGCCTCCAGGAATTCTGAAACTATAGGCGTGGGGCACCAGGCCCAGCTCCAAAGCCTCTTTCTTTGGCAAGCAGTGAGTTGCCTGGCAAAGGCCACATAGTCAAGGTTGCCCACATGACTGGAAGAAGCGAAGAGACCTCTGACACCAAGGAGAGAACAACACAGCAATAGCTGCAACAAGAAATTTCTCTTTATCCTGAGAGCGCAGTAGGGAGAAACTTTCGCCTGGCAAGGACAGGAAGGTTTCAGTCACAGGCCTTTTGGTCTCCTTTCTGCCGTGTCCAGGCATAACACCATGTTTGGTTGTTAATGACCAGCCTGTGCAGAATGAGCACCTCCTGGGTGGCGCACTTTTTCAGCAATTAAGGGAAAAGCTGCTGTGCACTAACTGAGGTCAAATGAACCCTGCGACCCAGCCAGAAGAGAAAGCACCCACCCCATCCAGAGTGGCCGAAATTCTTTCTCTTGGTAGGATTTCTCTTACTTCCCCTTTCAGCCCAGAATCAGGGCACCCATGAGCTCTGGAAGCCTTGGAAAGTGTGCGGGGTCCGGGGAGCACTCAGCCACTTCTCAGGAGCCCTGCATTTGGAAGGTTAGCACTGAAGGAGGAGGCAGATGGAGGCAAGGAAATAGGACCAGGAAGCTGTGGGACAAAAACTGAAGCAGACAGAGAAAGGAGGACTGGGTCAAAGCCTCAGGAAGATAAAGGCCGGCCGCCCAGGGTGCTTCTGGCATCAGCAGCTCACACAGATGCTGCACTAAGAGTGTCAGATACCCTGTACCCTCTGATGGGTGAAGGCATGGTGCAAAGAGCATCAGGGTGGACTCAGTGCTGGAATAGAAGACACCCAGCTGTAGCTATGAAGGTGGGGTATGCTGCATGCAAAATGCGAGATCCCATGTGGCTCCAGTCACTGAGTGACCGCACTCACTCAGGTTTGTCCTCCTGAAGGTCAGAAGTGTGGTGGAAGTGTGGTGGTCTGTGAAGAAAAAACCAAGGAGGTAATTTTTTTTTTTTTTTAAAACAGGGTCTCCCTATGCAGTTCAGGCTGGCCTTTGGCTCACTTTGTAGACTAGGCTGGTCGCAAACTTGCAGCAATCCTCCTTCCTCAGCCTCCCGAGTGCTGGGATTACAGGCATGCACCAGCACTCCACCCAAGGAGGTGATTTTCTTGTAGGTTTGCAGCACTGGTAGTTAGAACAGGATGCCAGGCAGCTGCTTCTTGGGTAATAACTAAATCGCAAAATCGTACGCATCTCTGGACTGCACTTCTATATCTATAGACTGATAGGATTATATCCAGAAGATGAGAAGTATAAAACAAAAGAGGTCTTTATTCTGAGAACACTGAGAGAGAGAACCACACCCCCTGCCCGCTGGAGTCTGGCTGTCTCTCTGGCGGACATATGGCATCGGGGGTAGTAAGTAGCCTCGGTTTGGGGTGGAACCTAAGGGGCATCAGGGATGCACGGGTAGCCCATTGGTCCTAGGTTTGGCGCCATAGCTAAGTTCCCAGGGGTGGGGAAGATGGCGTCACAAGTAAATTCCTAGGGATGGAGGAGACAGGAGCTCTTTGGTTCCTCCTTTAAGGCTTCACCAGCTACAGTGTCCTGTCTGAGCCAAAACCCTTTCACAGACCATAGGTCCCAGTAAAAAGCAAAAGAAAATCTGGTGTGGTGATGCACACATTAATCCCAGCATACAGGAGCCTGAGACAGAAAGGTCAGCACACCCAGTACCACCAAGGAAAGAGAGGGAAAATGAGAAGGAGGGAAAGGAGAGAGAAATGCTGTTACTCCAACATTAAAATATAATTTTTATTTCTGCCAATAGAGGCCAATAACCCGGTAAGCCTGGATTATTTTTTCAGCAACAAGCATTAGAAATCCAAATCATATGAGACTAAGAAAACAAAAATTTGATGCATATAAAAGAGGTTACCTTCAGGCTCCGCTACATCCAGATGCAACAAACAGGACTGGGTGAGGATCCTCAGTATTCCTCATCACCTTGCGGTCACCTTCATTTTCAAGGAGCGATCATGAAGGCACAATTTTGTCATCACCAAGTTGCCTGCACTGTCTTAGCAACCCTGGTGAAACAACAAAGCTGAACAAAACTCCATTAGTCCCTAGACCTAGTCACACACACACACACACACACACACACACACACACACACACGCACACGCACACGCACACACGCACACTCACATGCGCAGTCACGCGCGCAGTCACGCGCGCGCTGCAGCTTGCGATGTTCCAGGTTAGGCCTCCTCAGGAGTGCAGGGGCACTTTCCGGGGTGAGGGGGTCAGCGGAGAACCAACTCCTCTACCGGCCTTGCTGAGGGCCCTCGCCAGGACAGCGTGGCCTGGCAGGGCCTCGAGGGCTGAAAGGACGGACAAAGTGGCCTGAGACTGCCCCAGCGTGCCCCAGCCTGCGTTGGCCTCCTGCCTTCCGCCTCCATGATAAAAAAAAAAAAAAAAAAGAAAGAAAAAAGAAAAAAAAGCGTGGGGTTTTTTCAGCAGTACTTCCTGTTATGTTCAAAGAACACTTGGGCCGTTTTATTACTAAGCAATTGTCTCTTTTTAAGTAAAGAACCAAAAAAAAAAAAAAAAGCCCACATCGCGGCGAGGGTGAACTCGCCATTCTTCTAGCCCTTTTCTGATTTCCCATTTTCTTAAAGCCCTAATTAAGCCTTCCGAAGAGTTGGCCTAGGTTTAGTCTGCATTCTGAAACAGAAAATCCAATGTGTTAACGTTGTCTGCTTCAGCTGAAAAGGCAACTGTAAATTTATACAATCCGGGTTTCAAAAGAAAAAAAAAAAAATTTTGGCAATTTCGCATCTCAATGAGCCTGAGAAAGGAAACTGGACACCGCCCCTCCCCTTCTCCTTCCTCTTCGCTTCTTCTGCTCTCTCCTCCTCCTCTCGCATTTCCTCCTTCCTCCCCCCCCAGGTCTCCTGCCACCTGCTCCCCTGCCCCTCCTCCCCTAGCACCCATCCCCCTCCTTCCTGTTCTCGTCCTTGACGCGTTTGGGGCAAAGCCAGAGCTTCTGCCCTCCCAGCATCTCTTCCCCTGCCCCGCGGCCCCAACTGGCGCGCTGCCCCTCGGCACACTGGGCGGGGCTGGGGCGCCAGGCCGGCCGCGGTCACGTGGCCCCACCGCCTCTGGGCGGGGACTGGGCGCAGCTCTGCCTGTTCTTTGTTCTGAGGTCACCCGCGCCCCGGCTGGGAGGGAGCTACCGGGGTCCTTGGAAGAGCTGCGCATTAGCGCTCTGCCCCCACCCTGGGCCGCAGGGTGCAGGGATGCGGTGTGGTGCGTCTCCATGCTGAGATTCCCCAACACTGCTAGGCAGGGAGCGATGAAGATCTGCAGAACCCCGGGGATCCCTGAGGAGAGAGGACGTGGACCATCGAGGGACTGGGGACAGAGGGTGGGGGGACGGAGAGAGAGGATCTGAAAGGGCGTGCACAGCGCTACCTTGGGGAGCATCAGAAGTTGCGGAGGGAGGATCGCGCCTCAACTTCACGGGCTGTGTGTAACGGGTGGGCGCAGAAAGTAAGGGTCTACACTTTCTCCGCACCACGGGCTCCCGCAGAACAGTTGGAGAACTGCCGCAGGGTCCCTCTGCCCATCTGAGCCCAAGATCTCCTTGCGCGCATGCACTGCCCCGACCCTTCTGTCCCCTTCCTACCGCTAGTTGTGATCCTGAGAGGGAGCAGGGTTTGGCGCGCTGCGGAGGTGAGAGCCCCAGCGACTCCGCGCTGAAGGACGCCAGCCCTTCCCGATGTGTGACCGAGCAGGGGCGCTCTGCTATCCACCGAAGTGAAACTTCCCGCGAAAGCCGAAGTTAACATTGCCAGACGCGGCATGCCCGTCGTTTTTCTTGGTGCAGGTGGGGAGAACAAAAAACAAACAAGTAAACCAATAATCTCCATACAAAACGAGAGTTGAGGGTAGAGGGAAGACGAATCCAAATTTGAGTTCACGCTCCGTGACTAGTTGGCATTGTGATTTGGTTACCTAGTCTCAAAAATATTTTCTCTAGGTCATCAGATACTTTTCAGTAGTACCTGGGCTGAAGGCTCAGAAAGCTGCTGGGTAAGGGTTTTCCAGGCCACAGGGTAGTTAAGTAGGTAGTTTCCCTAGCGCCAGGCTGGGGGACAGCGGAACACAAGCCTAGTACTCAGGCCAGGGATGCTATTTTCAGCCCGCAAGAATGGAAAAGAAATAACAGTGATGCTCAGCTGTGTCATTAGTAACCTCAGTGTGACGTCATAGTTAGCGTCCCCCTAGCCTGTGAGTGAGCCCTGTTTGCTCTGCCTGCTCTTGAACAAGATGTGATTCCCTATGTAGATCAGCTGGCCTCTCCTGCTGGGAATAACAGGCATGAGCCACCACGTCAGGCGATTCCAATTTGTAATTTTCTAGAGTCAAAAGCAGAAAACATCTGCCAATTCTTAGGCCAAGAGCTGTGTCCTTTGGGACTTCAGATTCCTCAGGAGCACCACCAACTCCTGATATCCCAGGGTCCCCTCAGCGCTACCTATCTGGCTCCCCATGTGCCCCCGGAAGCGGGGTGAGAGTGGAAATGGCCCCTTCCCTCCTGGTCTCAGCTAAGTAGGGCACTCTGTGTTTATCCACCAAGCACGTGTTACTTCAGTAGGGAACAGAAAAACCAGAGATGTGACAATACACAGATTTCACAGGGCATCCCTGATCTCTCAGGAATAGTCACATAGAAGTTTTTGGTGGTGGTGGTGGTTTTAATTGACAAATGTAACATTGTCAGTTGCAGATATGAGCTACCTGGATACACAAAACGTAGCCTATCTATACAATGGGATGGGACTGGAAAGCCCTCAGAAGCAATTTCTGAACTGAGTTACAATATCACTAAGGCTTCCAGCCCAGCAAGCTACATAATAGCTGGTTCCTTAAAAAAAAAAAAAAAAAAAAAAGATATATATAGATCACTAGTTCCTCTGGTATGAAACACCCAGGAAGGCCTGCAGAGACAGGAAATGGATTAGTATAGTAGCTAGGGAAAGGGATGGGTCGGTTGTGACCACTTCATCCCTGCCCTTGGCCCCAGCCTTCTGGCTTTGTCCCTGTCACCATCCCCCATTCCTGTCCCCACCTTCCTGGCCTTTGCTCTCCTCCTCAGGGGCTTCCAAGACTCCCCAGGCCAGATCATCTTGCCAGGGTTGCTTGAGCTTCATTTAGTACAGTTGGTGCATTTGTGGGGTGAGGTAGGAGGTTAAGTCTCACTTTGCTAGTGTAGCTCTGTGACACCTTCTACCCAGAGAAATGCCCACACATGGGGAGAAAAATATACACAGGCCAGGAAAACACAGGACTCACACCACACACTTGTTTGCACACAGACACACACATCTGACGAAATCACACTCCTGAAATAATCCTTTCCCTTGCCATATATGACACATTGTCACTTTCTTGTTTACCCATTTTCTTTCTTCCTTCATTTTTATGCTAAAGCTCGCCAGCATCCCTGCAACTGGATTGGCAAACAAGGAGGTTTTGCCTTAGAGAAACCATTGCCCTGAGCCTGCATATGGTCAACAGCCTGCAGAGGATGTTAGGCAATGTCTGGAGACTTTTGGGTGTCACAGTCAGAGTGGGGATGGCCAGATGTGCTGGGCAGAGCTCAGAGACGCTGCTAAAGGGCAATGGGCAGTACCTGCCCTGTGGGGGATCCAGGGGCTGGGATCCAGACCTCATCCGTCAGGCCCAGAAATGGTCCTCAGGCAGCTCACCCAGGCTGCCAGCCTTCTGCCCGGCATCCCCACTCCTGTTTTGGATTTCAGGTTTTCCTAGAGTTTGGAATATCTCCATGTGTACTGTATGAGGTACCTGGGGCAGGGAGCTGAGTCCGAATCCCTTTGTGTTTCATAGAGACTCGCTACAAAGAGGCTGAAGGTGGTCTTGGACACTCACTGTAACAATTTCATGTGTGAAATAAAGTTTCCTGGCCTGGAGATGCCCATTGTGTTGGAAGTTGCAGATGTGAAGGCGTCTGAGACTTCCTGTTTTCTCATCAAGGAAGCTATGCAAGTCCCCATGGATATTAGTATCCCAGGCTCAGGCCCCAGGTCCCCAAGCTCAGAATGGGGGTGGTGAGTGTCCATTCAAGCTACTCCTGTCTCTGCATTTGACCCCTCAACCCTTACCCTACTGCCCCAGCCATACCCAGAGATTCAGGGGCGACTGGTTTGGAATGTGGCTTGCAAACCTGGAATTTTTAGTGACTAAAGGATACAGAGAATAGCAAGTTTGTGACAAATTCTGCATCTGCCACCCACCTTGAAGAGTGGGTGACTCCCAGCTAATTCACCTGTCCTCTTTTAACTCGAGCTTGGCTCATTGTCTTTGGGTCCTGGATAGCACTTGTTTGGGAAGCTGTCTTGGGTAGTGGACGACCCCTGGTAGCATCTCTGACCTCTTCCCACTAAATGCCATCAGCACCTCCACTTGTCACAACCCAACCTGCGCTCAGACTGTGACAAATGTCCCCTGGGGGAGAAAGGAGAAAATCCACCCTCACTGAGAACCGGTGATCTAAAAGTGCACAAAAACGTGTTTCTGCCTTGCCAATATTTGTTGTTTTTGCTTTGAGACAGGATCTGTGAACTCACTATGGCCTCAAATTCATGGAGATCCTCCTGCCTCAGCCTCCCAATCTCTGGGATGACACGCATGTGCTGTAAGCTTGGCTTAGGGCCAAGCGGGCAGGAGTGAGTTGCACCCCCCGCTTCTTCCTGCTTCTGTGTCCTCCTGAGATTCTTATTAAATATACAAATACCCTTTGTTCTCTGTGTCGTGCTCCATGGGTACCAACCCTCCGTGCAAAGTAGGAGGAAAAAAATCTCAAAATACAAATACTTTGGGTTTTTATTTTTCTTTTGGTACCAGGTATCAAACTCACAACCTCATGCTTGCCAGGCAGTGATTTATGCCATTGAGCTAACCCTTCAGCCCAACAAGATGCAAATACTTTGACCCAAGAATCATGTTCTGCTTTTGCTTGTGGTGACACACACCTGGAATCCTAGTACCTAGGAGGCTGAAGCAGGAGGTTCACTGAAAACTCAGGGCCAGGCTGAGCTTAACCAATGTAGTTGAAGGCGATCTGTGCCACACAATGAGACCCTGTTTAAGAAACACAAAATACAAGAAAATTGAAAGACTTGCTCCTGAGAGTCTTATTTTTTTTTAATCTATTCTTGAAAAAAACACTGCTAATCTGGCGGATTTCCTCATACATGAACCCTTTGCCTGGATAGGCACAACTTTCTAAGGGCTGCTAATGTGTGCTAGACACAACACGCTTGGCTTCCCTGAATGTCTAAAATACCAGCTTCCTTGAGGTCGTGAGTTTGATCTGCAGCACCAAAAGTAAACGAAGAGATAAATAAAATACCCATCTTCCTACTTCTGCCCGCAAGTCAAGTACAAAGTGTCTCACCAGCCAGAACACCCAAAACAAGGAACTGGTCCTTGTTACCCCTGCACATTTCCCCCAGTATTTTTATTTATCACTTTAATATATAGGTATGCATTTTTTAAAGACAGGTACTAGCCATGTCATTCAAGCTGTCCTGAGCTCAAGAGATCCTCCTGCCTCAACCTCCCAGGCAGCTGAGACCACAGGGACAAATCACCTTCCTTCTTTTTTTAAAATTTGTGAATTGAAGGGTAATCCCTGTGTTTTTCTACCTGGTACCTGCAACAACTGTTGCCTGCCCTGAATCATCAGTTTCCCTCACAGTGATATATTGTTGTTGCTAACTACAACAGTGGATGGGTTTTTAAATAAAAGCCTGTCAGGTCCCTGATACAGACTCAATGCTGTGAGAGAAAAATGAGGAGGCTCAGGATTGTCACAGAGACCCACAGGAGGCACAAGCCACACCCTGTAACCCCTCATCTTC